CAGCAGGGGGGGTCTGCGCACCTGGACCTGGCACAAGCCAGAACTGAGCCAGACTGCCTGCCCGCTTGGCTCTTCGTACCCTTGAAATGTGGAACTGAAATGGGGGGTGGGTCTTGGCGCCAGGACTGAGCCGGGCTGCCTGCCTGCTCAGCTCCTACTTCACTTTCAATGCAGAGCCGCAGCAGGGGTGGGTCCCAGACCCGGCGTGAGCCAGGACTGAGCCAGGCTGGTGGGGAGAGGGAAAAGCGTGTCGTCCGTAGCATGAATCGATGCGTGTTTGCTTATCAGTTAATCGACTGCACTATTACACCCCTAGTCTACACCCGGCCTAAGCAGCCATCAGATGGTTACAACTTCCCGACTCGTTACTGCTAGTAACATAGGGGTGAAGGGTTCCTTGGCCCGTCAAAGCAGCGACCCCAAGCCAGCCGCCCCTGTACTCCGGGGTGACGTGGCCCATTCTCAGAGGCTGTTCTTGCTCATGAGCCCCTTGGCCAAGGAGCGATTGACGCCTCAGTGTAGCCATCATCCCCGAGACGGAGCAGATGACCCAGACACAAAGTGCCCCGCCCGAGCCTCCTGATGCCCGAGAAGGACTCGTCCCAGTAAGATTCCCTAAGGGCTACAGGAGAATCAAAGCTCCTCCGGGATGGCCCCAGCTCACACTGCAGCTCCGCTTGGCAGGGCACCGGTGCGGGGCAGCTACCCCCGTTGCGTCACTTCAGCTCTAGCCTGGGACTGTCGCCCACGCCCCTGGGGATCAATCAAGGCTGCAGCTTCTCCCGTGTGAGCCCGCCTTTGCCTTGGCAGTTTTCTCCCAAACACCGCGACTGGATCCATCCGCAATCCGCCAAGATCTTGGGGGCTCTGGACCTTGGAGGAGCATCAACCCAAATTAGCTACATCCCTGTGGGGCCAATTACTGCCCAGGCGAACGCCGCCACCTTCCGGCTGTATGGCTACAACTACACTATCTACACACACAGCTACCTGTGCTACGGGCAGAACCAGGCGCTGAAACGGCTGAGTCTGAAACTCACCGAGGTGAGTCATGCGGGGGCCTTGGCTCCGGCAACGGGGCTCTGGTCTGGTCACTGCAAACAGGAGCCAAGGGCTCAGCGCTTGCAGCAGGCTCCACGGGAGGCGCAAGGGAGGGGAGCAGGGACGTGGGTCAAGGCATCCCTGGAAGGCAAGGCCAGGAGCCGGGCCTTGGCCGCTGGGGGCCTTGTGAGGCAGGAGTGTGGGGAAAGCAGGCGGGGTTGGGCTGGCGTTGCCCTTCTGAGAGGTGCACGGAGAAGGAGGAGAGGCCATCCCCAGACATGGCTGCAGAGGCACCTGCGCGCTGTGTGGGCCCTGAGCTGTGGCCGGGCTGGGCCTCAGCCTCTACCAAGGTTCAGGAACCCTAGCAGTATCCACCGTGCAGCCTCCCGAGGCAGGCGGG